GCCTGTAATCCTAGCACTCTGGGAGGCTGAGGCAGGAGGATCGCTCAAGGTCAGGAGTTCGAAACCAGCCTGAGCAAGAGCGAGACCCTGTCTCTTGCTCTACTAAAATTAGAAAGAAATTAATTGGCCAACTAAACATATATAGAAAAAATATATAGAAAAACATATATAGAAAAAATTAGCCGGGCATGGTGGCACATGCCTGTAGTCCCAGCTACTCGGGAGGCTGAGGCAGGAGGATTGCTTGAGCCCAGGAGTTTGAGGTTGCTGTGAGCTAGGCTGACGCCACGGCACTCACTCTAGCCTGGGCAACACAGTGAGACTCTGTCTCAAAAAAAAAAAAAAAAAAAAAAAGGGACAGTTTAGGGGCTGAGGGGGAAGTCCTCAACTGTTAGTCCATGTAAGTCCTATCACGACAGAACCGTTCACCCTTCCTATCTTACCCTACCTTAGGGTGGGGGAGAAAAAAGAGAGATAAGAGAAATAAGAGTCCAGGGAGAAAAGTAGAGTTTCTTCCCTTTGAGGCTCTGCCCTGCCTCCCAGAGCCCCTTCCCTTCTCTCTGCCGAGCACCGGATCCTCCCTTATCCCCTGACCCCATGGGCACCCTCTGTCCCCTCAGCGGCTCTGGGAGAGCCTCAGCTCTGCTATATCCTGGATGCCATCCTGTTCTTGTACGGTATTGTCCTCACCCTGCTCTACTGTCGACTGAAGGTAAGGCCAGGCAGGGGGAGGTCAGGGCTGGGAGAAGAAGTGGGAGGGTGGCAGCAGCATGGATTCGAGGAGTGGGAATAAAAGGGGAACCCCCACAAAGTTTGGAGGGAAGGGGGATGGGCCACTAACTTCCCCTTTACTGATAACATTTCTCCCACTCCAGATCCAAGTGCGAAAGGCAGCTATAGCCAGCTATGAGGTATGTATGGACCCTCCCATGCCTGCGCGTTGACACCTTTATAGACTCAGCCCTTCTGGGGCCCTAGGCTGGGTTCAAAGCCTCTGGGAGGGCATACTTCTCAGGTGCTCATCTGTGTACACCTCAGAGGACCCCCCACCTCATCCTACCCACTCTGCCAACTAGCCAAGCCACAAGTAAAATATTCAGCTGGTGACAGGGCGGAATCAAGCATAGGGTGACAATGAATATGTGAGAGACTGTGTGTTGTGTGTTGTATGTGTATATGTGTTCGTAGCCACGTGGGCAAATGTGTATTCATGTCCCAGGGCATCCTTGTGAGCGCCCTCTAGCCCAGGGTGCACCCCTGGCCAGAGACCTCCCTGGGTGGGGAGATGCTGAGGGGCCGGAAGGAGGTGTGGGTCTCTAATACCTTGCTCCTTTCATCTCTGCAGAAATCAGACGGCGTTTACACGGTAAGTGAACCTGCTGCCCCCACCCAGGAAGTCAGCAGAAGAAGGTGGGATTTTGAGTGACCTTTGGAAGGGGCACAGTCTGTGGAGGTGGGAGGGGGCCTGTGATGGGCTCAAGCTCCTGATCATCCTTTGGTTGCCACCTCCAGGGCCTGAGCACCCGGAACCAGGAGACTTATGAGACTCTGAAGCATGAGAAACCGCCACAATAGCTTTAGGACAGATGTGGTCACATCTTCCTTCGGCTTCTAGTTCTCCTCCCAGCCCTTATGGTAGACATCACATATGCCTCCATGCTGTTAATGCCAGCTGACTCTACTCCTATAATTATGCTACACCCCAGATTAATATACACCAGTGGTTCCTCCTCCCTGTCAGAGACTAATGCTCAGATGCTATTTGTGGATGTTTATATTCTAGTCTCACTTCCTTGTCCTACTCTTCTTCTCTTCCTCATGCCCATCTCCCACTAAACAGTAGGAAGGCAATGCTCTCAATAAAGCTACCACAGACTGGACTCCATTCATTCATTTATCATGTATTTATTCAACCTCTGCTAAGCATTAGGCTGGATATAGTTTCTCAGTTCCTGACCTCACAGAACTCACAGTCTAATGGACTTCAGGGCTATTTTGCTCAACTGAAGGATGAATGTTGACGGTGTCTGGAGGAGGGATGAGACCTGTGAGCCCCAGGTGCTCTGGGCTGGAGGTGGAGCAAGGAGTAATGTGTTGAGACCCTAGGTATATTCCAAGGCATTAGAAGCTAAGAAATGGCTTCTGTACCCAGCATGGCTTTCTCTGTCTGACAATTGAACCAAGGTCAGGTTGTGGATGAGCTTGGCTGTCCAACTCCAAATAGTTGCCAATCTAGACAGTACCAATCCACATGCATATAGGAATTAGCATAGTCAAAAAGCCAAACATGCAGAAGGGATGGTGTGACTAAGGCTGTGTGAAGCCCCTAATGGAAGGTTTCAGTGGAACAGTGAGTTTTCAGTGGGGTTTGGGGGAAGAGGGACCTTAGAGAGCCAGATAGGGTTAGTGGTGGGTAGGGCAAGGGGGAACAAATTGGGTCCAGATGGGAGGTCATCTCTCCCTAGTGCATAGGTGGTGGCCAAGGAATCCCCCTGTCAGTGCCTGTCCTGTTTCCAGAGCTGCCAGGAAGCTCTGCCTGCAAGTATTTAAACCTCATCAGATGCTGCTAGTCCTACCTCTGCCCCAGCAGTCCTTTCAGAATGGGTCTAGAGTCCCCAAGCTTACCCTTGGAAACCCCTCATTCTGGACAATACTTTGCACTGCATAGTCACTTATACTTCTCAAAGTGTTTTCCAGCTCTTATCATTTGATCCACTTATTAACCCCGTGAAGAAATTCAAGCTCTTTGAAGTTAATTAACTTGTCCAAGGTCACCTTGCAAGTGACTGAAATCTCTTTGTCCTGCACATTTTGCCAAATGAGAAAAAAGCAGATATTGGGAAAGAGAAGGGGAGGTGAGTGATCATGAATGGTGAGGGTCTAGAAGGCTGGATGAAGGAGGTTGATCAATATATAGAAGAAATTGGGTCCATCTCCAGTGTCTCAGGGGATGGGTGATTTCAGATGAGATATGAGAAATGAGCCAGAGTAGGAAAGTTGCTCTTTCTTTTTTTTTTTTCCTTTTTCTTTTTTTTTGAGACAGAGTCTCACTTTGGTGCCTAGGCTAGAGTGAGTGCCGTGGCGTCAGCCTAGCTCACAGCAACCTCAATCTCCTGGGCTCAAGCAATCCTCCTGCCTCAGCCTCCCCAGTAGCTGGGACTACAGGCATGTGTTACCATATCCGGCTAATTTTTTGTATATATATTTTTAGTTGGTCGATTAATTTCTTTCTAATTTGGTAGAGACGGGGTATTGCTCAGGCTGGTTTCGAACTCCTACCTTGAGCGATCCGCCCGCCTCGGCCTCCCAGAGTGCTAGGATTACAGGCGTGAGCCACCACAGTCGGAAAGTTGCCCTTTCTTTGAGATGAGGTCTCACTATATGGCCCAGCCTGGTCTCAAACTCCTGTGCTCAAGTGATCCTCCCACCTTGGCCTCCCAAGTAGCTGGGATTACAGTTGGTGCCACTTGTCTGGTTTAGGTAAGTAACTCTTTTTTTTTTTTGAGACAGAGTCTCACTCTGTTGCCTGGGCTAGAGTGAGTGCCGTGGCATCAGCCTAGCTCACAGCAACCTCAAACTCCTGGGCTCAAGTGATCCTCCTGCCTCAGCCTCTCAAGTAGCTGGGACCACAGGCATGCAGCACCATTCCTGGCTAATTGTTTCTATATATTTTTAGTTGGCCAATTAATTTCTTTCTATCTTTAGTAGAGATGGGGTCTCGCTCTTGCTCAAGCTAGTTTTGAACTCCTGACCTTGAGCAATTCTCCCGCCTTGGCTTCCCTTCCAGAGTGCTAGGATTACAGGTGTAAGCCACCATTTCCGGCCTGGGAAGTAACTCTTTTAAAGATAAAGTGGGGATAAACTTTGATTGGAAAATGCCTCATTTTCCCTTGCCCTACATTATGGGATTGTGAATCTCTCCAATCAGCCTAGGTTGATTTTTATTCCATTTTGATTTAATCTAGGTATCACAGCTCCCAGAGTTTCTCTAGTCCCACGTGTCCACCAAGTTTGATACCTGTCAGGCCTTTAAGTGGCTCCCAGGGATACTAGTGCCAGGCTCTAAGATGCCTACCAGGCCAGTTCTAGAAATAGCACCTGGGTAGCAGTGGGGGAGGGGCTTTGAATGGGTCTTCGCCAGAGAGTGTCCAGATGAGAGGTTGTTTTTTTTTTTTCTGAGGACAGAGTCTCATTCTGTTGCCCAGGCTAGAGTGAGTGCCATGGCATCAGGCTAGCTCACAGCAACCTCAAACTCCTGGGCTCAGGCAATCCTCCTGCCTCAGCCTCCCAAGTAACTAGGATTACAGGCATGTGCTACCATGCCTGGCTAATTTTTTTCTATATATTTTTAGTTGGCCAATTAATTTCTTTCTATTTTTAGTAGAGACAGGGGTCTCGCTCTTGCTCAGGCTGATTTCGAACTCCTGACCTTGCGCGATCCTCCTGCCTCAGCCTCCCAGAGTTCTAGGATTACAGATGTGAGCCACCATGCCTGGCCCAGATGAGAGGTTTTGAATGCAGGAATCAGAGCCCTTTCAGGAGAGGAGTAAACCAAGGTCTTTTATTGTGGGATTGGGGGAAATATTGCCCTAGCTCAGAAGGGAAGTGTCTTGGGTGACACTTCTGGTTTCATTTTTTTGGAAGCTTTCCCTTCTTTATAGAATGATTAGGAGGAAATTCTAAGGGGTGCCGTCATTTCCTGAGACCTCCACAAGTCTAGGAATTCCATTTGTGAATCCTCCATGCCTTTCATAATTCCATGTTCAATGCAAAGGCTCTTTAGTTCTCCACTTCAGAGCCATTCCCAGGCCTGTAGGAGATTCCTTGCACTTGGAAAAGAATCACCCTGTCATTTCCATCATTTGTCTCTTCAACCTTTCTCTACCCCTCCACACCCATATCCCCCTCCTTTTAGAAGCAGATTTCTCTTTTTCCTTCCTCCTGCTACTCTCCCACTTCCCTACTTTTCCCAGTCCCCCCAGACACACGAGGCTCACAGCTTGACTCCTGCAGCATTTATTGTAGCAAACAGGGAGTTGGTAGAGGTAGGGGCTCTAGGCCTGGCCAGTGGATGTTCTAGAGGCCAGCTGGGGCCGGAAGACAATGGTCTGGACAACTCACTAGGTGGAAGGTTGTGTTTCAAAGTGCACAAAATGGCCCAACAGGTTAACCAGATCGTTTCCAGCCTTCTTGACCAAGGGTGTCAGCTCCTCCTTTGACTTTTCAAGGTAATCCCTGGGTAGGTGAGGAATTAGAGGTCAGTGTGAGAGACCCTAGGCACTGGCAGGGACCATGGTGGTGGTGGGAGGTCAGAGCAGACTAACCCAGGTCCTCAAACTCTAGTGCCTGGTCCATCCCAGCATGGCAAAGCCCCTAGGCAGGAGGAGAGGCAAGTCTTCCACTGGGCAGAGGAACAGACCCTAGAGATTGAGATTCAAGGCCCAGTTCCCAGTGCTCCTATCTGTCTAAGAAGTGTGTGGGACTTTTGGGTGATGAAGGAATATTTCTCTCCAATTTAAGCCTAATCCTCCCTAATCCCCACCCCTGAGTTCAGTCTTCTGTGGGACCTTCCATCTTTCATTCTTTCCTGCCACAGTCCCACAGCCTCAGAACTCCTTTCCCTGAGACTTACCTGGCTTGGGCCTGAAGCTCCGGGGCCTTGACCTTCTCTATCAGGTACGTCCCATATGTGGTGAGTTTCTGGACATACTGAGAGAGCAGGCCCTGCAGACCCGGCTCCTCTGCCTCTCTCCGAACCAGAGCTCCTGCGTCCACACACACACACGCGCGCGCGCACACACACACACACACACACAGACTTTTTTCAGCTGGGTCCACAGCAATGAGTCCTGGCCTCCAGCTACACCTCTGCCAGTACCTTACCCCAGCTCTCAGCCTCCCTCCCTAAAAAGATATCCAGGTAGGTCTTTGGATAGGCTTTCTGGGCTTTAGAGAGGAAATGATCTTCCTTTTGAGCCCTCAGGTTGCCAGACCTGGGCACAGGAGCTCAGACGAAAGGGTAGCTATGACCCCCAGCACCTTCTCCCCTATTGGCCCCTTTCTCCATATCATACCCACCTTCCAGTCTATAGATGGTCAGCAGCAACACAGTCATTGCAAGTAGCTTCATGGTGGTGACAGTAGGGAAGGTGGCCTAGGAACAAAGCTGGTGGCAGTAGGGGGGACACTGAAGCTAAATGGGCTTCAGCCTCTCCCCAGGGATCTCCCCAAGTAGGTGCCCTCTCCAACCTGGTTCCCTCCCTTTCCATGATTAAAGTTGAGTCCTCTTTGGATGCTGCCCACACCTCTTACTCCCTTATCCTACCTCGTCAGCGTCTCTGTCCTTGGTGTCTGTCCTGGCCTGGCTGGAGAGGTAGAGGCTATATACTTGTTTTCTTACCCACCCCTAGTCAGGTGACAGGGACTGTGTGGGTTCATTGGGGCAGGGGCCATGTTGGAATAAACAAATTGGAGGAATGGGGGAGGAGAGAACAAATAAAAGGGGGGTTCCATGATGGAGTGAGAGACAAGGGATACAGGCCTTACTGGAGGCCAAGCTGGTGTACTTCAGGTCTATGGAAGATCCATTCTCTTGGGGTCTGGGGTGAGCAATCCTTAGATTTGAATGCAGAGAGAAGCAGGAGTCCTAGTTATTTCTCTGGAAAGCTCTGATATATCAAGCCCTCAGTTCTTGGTATCTTTATCCCATTATGGGTAGATTTCATTTCCCCAACCCTAGCCTGCTTCATTGCAACTTGGCAGGGAAGTATTGGGGGAACAGAAGAGAGGAGAAAGGAGTTGAAATCAGGGGCAGGGATGAGGGGAATGGGGGTTAGGGGAATGAAAGTCAGGGGCAGAGGGCAGATGTGATTGACTTTGTCCCTTTTTGAGTTAATGTGTAATGAGATAGGGGAAGAAAACACGAGAGCCCAGAATGACCCAGGTGCTGATCAATAAGCATATCCTACCCCCAATAAAACGAATTCAGAAAATGCATATGCCCTCCTGCTCCCCACTGGAGGGCTCTGGCAGGAAAAGAGGTAAATAAGAGGCTTCTGCCAGGATAAAGGTTGAAGGTGACTGGCCATTCGATCACATTGTCGGTTCCAGGCAGTAGTTAGCCAATATTGAGTCAGGAGGGGCTATAGCACTATAACATCCCTCTGGCCAAGGCCCTGGTCCTTGTCCCAGCCCTGATTGTGGGGGGGTAGGGGGGGGAAGAAGTACATTTCCCAGGTACAAACCATTTGGGTGAAATCAGCCAGATAGATACCAGAAGCATTTGTATCTTTCACCCTTTTGACCCCAGAGCTTACTTTCTGTGTATGTAGAACTTTCCTGAAAGGTGTGGGTGGAGGAGTAGAGCTAGTAAGGGAGGTAGTGACCAAACACCAAGAAGTCTTGCTCCATCTTCAATTATTCCCCTGTGAGCTCTTAGTGCTTGATGGTCACCCCCTTGGCTTATCCCTGGGCCTGGGGTGGGGCCCATTTGGGGGCTGGAGTCCATATTCCTAGATCTTATTGGCCAACTCTGCCTGGGTACTCAGGGAAGAAAGAGTTAACTGCACAGGGCAGCTGTGTCAGGGAATAGTTCTGCTAGAACCTACCCCACTGCCCCAAACTCTGCCGCCCATTCCCATTCCACAGAGAGGGCAAGAAGAGGGAACGTTGAGAGATGTGGACCGCCAGAAGGGAAGTGTGGGTCCACGTCCTGAGAAGAGCGGTGCTTATGAGCAGCACTCATTTGGAGGTGTACTGTGGAGGGCTGTGAGGATTCCCCACCGGCTCTACGGGAAGGAGGGAGCGATATAAATGAACCAAGGTTCGAAATAAGTCTTCAGACTCGTTCCCCTGTCACCCTTCACAAAACCCAAGTCTTCAGGCTGTAGTTTCACTTTTCTCACGGGTCGGGTCGTGGAGGGAGCGTCAGCGGCCCAAGCTACAAGATGCTCCCTCTAGTGTTTTGCAAGCTCACAGGTCTTCCCCGACCTTGGAGAGGCATCGCTTGGGGCGATCTAAGGCCTTCTGTTTAAGTCTAAGGAGCCACCAACTAAGATCCGCCCAGCTCTGCAGTGCCGGGGCCGAAGCTCTCTGGCCGTCAGGGCTGCCACTCCTTTGCTTTCACCTCTCCCATTGGCTCCTGGGAGATAGAGGAGGCTTTTTTCTCATAGATTGGGCGGGGCCCAATTAGGGGAGGGTTGGGTCTTTGATATCATTCTTTGCCCTATTCCAAGATGGCGCTCACGGCCACGCTGGTAATGCAGCGTGAAGCCGTAATTCTGCCATCACCCAAGATGGCTGCCCCCATCAAGATGACCGGGGTGTGCCGGAGGGAAAGGGGCAGCATGATGGTCTGACATGGTAAGGGACACTGCTCCATTGCGAGCCTGGCTTTGGGGCCTGGGAATGAAGAGTATAGGGGATAGGAAGCTAGGTGAGGTCTGTGGTAGGGGGTAGGATTAGAGAATGGGAGAGATGACAGGGGTGACAGGTGGGGGTGAAGGATCAAAGACGGGGCGGGAGTGTGCCTGGGGTTCAGTCTCCCCATCAGTGCTCTCTCCCCCAACTCTTCCTGTTCCAGGTCTAGCGTCGGACCATGTGGAAGTTTCCAGGACTGGGGAGCTGGATGATGGGGGCTGGGGCCCGTGGAGGGTAGAGGGAGCAATAGCGTTCTTGCCCAGGCTAACCTCTGCCCCTCCCGGTCCTCTGGACTAAAATGGGGAATACACTGGGCCTGGCACCGATGGGGACTTTGCTCCGCCGGAGCCCCCGGAGAGAGGAACCTTTGCCCAACCCTGGGAGCTTCGATGAGCTGCATCGGCTATGCAAAGGTGAGAACTTGGCATTTGGGTGTCTCAGGATGAAGGGGCAGACAAGGGGAGGGTCTTGAAGTGTCTAGGGATGGAAGCAGGAAAGGGGAGATCACAGCTGGGTATCCAGCGGCAGGGAGGATCAGGTGCCCGAGTGAAGTGGAGCATCTCGCTGCAGGACTGGAAAGGAGGTCAATTCCTCCAAGGTGCTTCCTAAGGGATTGAGAGGGGAGACTTCCGCTTGGGGTAGGGGTTCCTTGTCTGTGCTTATTCCTTCCCTTCCCCTCACCCTCTTCAGATGTATTCCCTGCACAGATGGAGGGAGTGAAGCTCGTTGTCAACAAGGTTCTGAGCAGCCATTTCCAGGTGCTCCTACTTCTCTGGCCCCTCTTTACTATTCCTCCTTGCCTGTTCCTGGGTCCTCTTCTCCTTTCCTTTGTACTCCAGCCTTAGCCAGGCTATGTGGGACAAATAAGGGAGGATGTGGGACTCTCTTTACCTCCCTTGCCTGTGAGACTTGTTGCTTTCATTCTGGGGACCCTCTGTATGCGTTGGAATATTTGGGATTCTTAAGAGGCCTTCTGGATGGGGAGAAGATGAAGGGTGGGATGGGATTGAAATGAAGCAGGAATGCAATGCTCTCTTCTCCACTGATGCCTCTTTCCTCAGGTGGCTCACACGGTACACATGAGTGCCCTGGGCTTGCCAGGCTATCACCTCCACGCGGCCTATGCAGGGGACTGGCAGCTTAGCCCCACTGAGGTGAGGACTCCACACACCCGGGCATCTCCCTAAAAGCCCACCAGGGATCCAGGTCTGGTGGAGGAGGAAATGTGTGTTATGGAGAAAAATGGTCAGTAACCTGATTTTCTCTGTGTCTCTTCTGAATGGGCAAGAGAGAACAGTTGTACGAAGAACCCTGTTTGTCTTTGTGCCTCCACCAGGGGGCGCAGCGGGCCGTTAATGAAATCCATTATTTGGGTTTAGGATGAGTGGTGCCATCCAGCTCAGCCTTATTATTGTCTACTCTTTTACAGGTGTTCCCCACTGTGGTAGGGGATATGGACAGCAGTGGCAGCCTCAACGCCCAGGTCCTGCTTCTCTTGGCAGAGCGGCTCCGAGCCAAGGCTGTCTTCCAGGTGACCTACAGTTCCTGCCTCCATCCATTGAAGCGCTTCCTCTTTCTCCCCCTTGAGTTTCCTGCTCTGGCAGATGGGGGCGGGGAGCAGAGGCAATAGTGATCAGAAAGAGGGAGGAAGATTTTACTTCTTGCTCTCCCCATCCAGACGCAGCAAGCCAAGTTCCTGACATGGCAGTTTGATGGAGAGTATCGGGGAGATGACTACACAGCCACTCTGACCCTAGGAAATCCTGACCTGATTGGGGAATCAGGTGAGGAATTGGGTCAGAGTTCTTTTTATCTTGGCTGCCCGTTTGCTAATTTTGGCTATGCCTCTTCATCTTCTGTACATTTCGAGGTTAGAAAAGGAACTTCTTGGCCGGGTGTGGTGGCTCACGCCTGTAATCCTAGCACTCTGGGAGGCCGAGGCGGGTGGATTGCTCGGGGTCAGGAGTTCCAAACCAGCCTGATCGAGACCCCGTCTCTACTAAAAATAGAAAGAAATTAATTGACCAACTAAAAATATATATACAAAAAATTAGCCGGGCATGGTGGCGCATGCCTGTAGTCCCAGCTACTCTGGAGGCTGAGGCAGTAGGATCGCTTGAGCCCAGGAGATTGAGGTTGCTGTGAGCTAGGCTGACGCCAGGGCACTCACTCTAGCCTGGGCAACAAAGTGAGACTCTGCTCAAAAAAGAAAGAAAAGGAACTTCTTGGGTAGACTGGTTACTGGAGGTGAGGGAGCAGACTCAGGTGTTGTTTCTGTGACTGACTCCATGTCTCCCCATTACCCCACAGTGATCATGGTCGCTCACTTCCTACAGAGTCTCACTCATCGGCTGGTGCTGGGAGGAGAGCTAGTTTATCACCGGCGGCCAGGCGAAGAGGGCGCCATCTTGACACTGGCCGGGAAGTACTCGGGTATGGGGTGAAGTGGAGTAGTGGGGGCAGGGAGGCAATTCTGGACTCTGCTGGGGTTCCTGGCCTGTGTCCTACTACAGTAACACTCCTTTCCCCTTGGACTTTGTTTTTTACAGCTGTACACTGGGTAGCTACATTGAATGTGGGATCAGGCGGGGCCCACGCCAGTTATTACCACAGGGCAAATGAACAGGTGAGACCACTGATCTTATCCCCCAACCCAGCAAGCCGGTTATGAACTTCTGCACCTCTGGACCCCCACAGGCCCTGCTGACTTAGTATTCTTCCTACCCGTGCTGCATTTACATTGCAATGCATGCCCTCATTCTGCTCATCCCCTGTCAGGACCCCTCTAGTCTTCACTGACACTGATCCCTCTGATCCTTGTGCATGGTTCTCAGGTTCAGGTTGGAGTGGAGTTTGAGGCAAACACAAGGCTACAAGACACAACCTTCTCCTTTGGTTACCACCTGACTCTGCCCCAGGCCAACATGGTGTTTAGAGGTGAGGGTTATTGCTGAGAAACGGGGGATGCAGAGGGAGAGAAGCTCTACCTCACTTCTGCCAACTCCTTTCTTCAGGCCCTGTTAAATAACCCAGTTGATATTCTCTCCCCCGACAGGCTTGGTGGATAGTAACTGGTGTGTAGGTGCTGTGCTGGAGAAGAAGATGCCCCCCCTGCCTGTCACCCTAGCTCTTGGAGCCTTCCTCAATCACTGGCGCAACAGATTCCACTGTGGCTTCAGCATCACTGTGGGCTGAGGTTGTCTCACAGCCAGTCCCCACAGCAGCTGGAACCTCTGAGTCAGGTGCCCCAGGGCCAGAGACTAGGCCCCTCTCCAGAGCCCACCTTGCTGGGTGACCTCTAGGTCCCAGGAACAGAGTTGGGGACAGGACCATGCCCTCCTCAGAACTGGAGCTGCCACAGGGGCAGCTGATGAGGCAGTGGTTTGAGGCTCCAACCACTACTACGAGCCCCGCTATCATCTTCCCCATGCTCTTGTGGCTCTGGACTAAGGGAAGAGGATTAAGGGGTATGTCTGGCTGAATTTCTCCCCTATCCCACTTCTTTCTTCATTTCCCTTTGGTTAATCCTGCATGGGATTAGCTTACCACCCTGTTTTCCATCCCAGAGCCTCCCACGGCTGGAAAAGTAGGGCTGAAGGGCCAAATCTCTGGCCTCAGAAAGTGGGGCCCACCCATTCCCAGAAGGAGCTTCATTACCTCTTAGCCCTGAGGCTTCCTCCTTCCCCATCTTCTGTGCTTCCAGAGAACAACTTTATTCCCACAGTCACCTCCCAGTACCCCCATGACCGCATGAAGAGGCAGTTATTGCTTTAGACTTTCATTGCAACCACTGGGCTCCCTTTCCACTGGGCCCAATCTCTGGTCACAGCATTTTTCTCTTTCCAGTCTGGTGTGCCCCAGGTGAGCTGGGGAAGGGGGTGAGCCTGGGCCTCAGCTGCAGATCTCCTGGAGCAGGGGCATCATGGCAGGCAATCCCTGGATGCGCTGGATTTGGTACCCGTATCCGTCATTAATGCTCCGAAGCTCAACTAACAGGCCTAGCAGCTTCGCATATAGAAACCTTTGGAGGGAGTAGTGAGGTCACCAGAAAAATAGGAGGGAAAAAAGGTAGCTGGGAGTCTTGTCTTGAGGCCCTGATCCCCTGAACTGTCCCTCAGTGAAACTAGGTCTGAACATTAGAGAAAATCATGCTTTGGTATGACAAATTTATCAAAGGTCCCAAAAGTCCCCCAGGGGGCCCTCTCCAACACTATCATCTTTTATCATGCCCCATTTTTCCTGAACCCAGAGCTCTGAGGGCCAAGTGTGAAGAAAGCCCTGGACTTAGCTAGAAATCCAACTGTATGGGATCTGAGGGTCTAGCCTTCTAGAGCAGATTCTAGAAGGTGGGTGTGTTCTATGGTATAAAGTGTTCCCTTTCTGGCCAAACTGCCTCATGGAGGAAGTGGTGCATACCTCAAAGCCTGGAAAGATCATGGACTATTGAACCAGGAACTGGCTTTGACCATGAAACTATGAATGACCACAACTTCAAAGGAAATGAAAAATTGAAGGAATTGATTCAATGGAGAGGAGAGGAAGGGCCAGGGGGAAAGAATGAACAGGACTCTTAAAAATCTGCTTTAGTCTGGAGAGGTTGGACTAGTGAGGTGATGGATGTCATCAATCTCAGGAGTGCTATTATACAGAGCCTGTGAGCTACTACTTTGCATCTCTACTGAATAAAAAAAAATCTGGAAAAAGTGAGATGAAACAGCAGTAAGAGCACTTTGGATGCTGGAACTATGTGAGACAGGGATGGCTAGAGGGAAGGGATAGACCAAAAGAGACCTGGTTTCCCAAAGGAAAGGACAGTAAACAACATTCCTCCCAAGCTCATGTTTTTTTTAACCCCTTCCTGCCCCAGTGTGGCTTGAAGCTCGAAGCTCCCAGTCTCCCAACTTACCGATTCCGGGGTTTTGGCTGCTGGCCTTTGATGTAGCTTTGCAGAGTCAGTGCCACCTCCTCTTGTAGCTGATCAATCTCCTCTCTCTGGGTAACTCCAGGGCGGTCTGTAAGACAGGGAGCTGGGAAAGACAAGGTGGGGGAAAGGGGAAGGCCTGCACAGTGCCCTGGAGGCTGAGGCAGGTATAGACCTACTCTGCAGGTTTGAAGGCTACAAGGCCTGAGATGGATGGATTTGAGGAGCTGAGAGTTTGGGCGGAGGTGGTGGAGAAAAGTTTCTAGCCTTTGGGAGACACTCACCAGGAGAGAAGAGGGCCATGGCAGCCAAGAGCACATACTCAGGCTCCTGAAGCTGCAGTTGTCGCAGTGTCCCATGGAAACGAAAGACCAACTCTAAAAACTCTACCTGGAACCCCACTGTGGGAGACACTAGGTTTAGGAGTGTCCAGGTCACCCAACCACATGCCATACCACAAGGACACATGCCTTCTCCTGCTCTAGCACCATCTCACCATGGGTTCCGTCTTCCATCGTGTAGCGAAGAGGCCCACAGAGGAAGTTCCGCGTTTGGGGACAGAAAGTGGAATTGAGTGCAATGTGACAGATTTCCACAGCTGCTCCCTTGAGAAGGGAGATCTGGTCCTCCATGGGCAGGGACCTGTGGGGAGCAGGGAACAAGGGCACTTTAGACTCAAGCCCCAACTTCAGAGAGGGAGAGGAACTCCTAATCCTGACTGACACAATTAAAGACAAAGCTGGGGCTGGGCTTAGAGGCTCATGCCTGTAATCCTAGCACTCTGGGAGGCCGAGGCAGGAGGATTGCTCAATGTCAGGAGTTCAAAACCATCCTGAGCAAGAGCGAGACCCCGTCTCTACTAAAAAATAGAGAGAAATTAATTGGCCAACTAAAAATACACAGAAAAAAATTAGCTGGACATGGTGGCGCATGCCTGTAGTCCCAGCTACTCTGGAGGCTGAGGCAGGAGGATTGCTTGAGCCCAGGAGTCTGAGGTTGCTGTGAGCTAGGCTGACATCATGGCACTCTAGCCCAGGCAACAGAGTGAGACTCTGTCTCAAAAAAAATAAATAAAAATAAAAAAATAAAGACAAAGCTGGGAATTTGAGACCTGGTGCTTGGAAAGGCTGAGGGATGTGTTAATTTTTGGTCAGTGACTTTTGTGGGTGGGTGGGTGTATAGTTGACTGAAGTGTCAACTTCATCTTAGGAAGTGAAGATGAGCTTCCTAAAAGATGAGCAGAAGTCACTCACCGGAAGAGGGGCAGTTCCTTGGAGAACTTGATGATTTGCTGTACCATGAAAGTGTTGATGTCTGCAAAGTGCATGAGCAGAGGCAGTACAGGGGCCAGGGCGGGCGAGGGCTGGTGACGGATGAATAGATAAGCTGGAGGCTGCAAAGATCAGAACATGAATGAGGGGTCTTGGCCCAAGGCCCTCCTTTAGGTCTGGCCTGCCTTGTCTTAAGAGGGTTCCTTGCTGAAGAGCCTGCCGGGACATGGGTTTTTGGAGAAGCCCTGTCCTCTGCACTGGTGCATGGCACACTGCCCTCTCCCTCAGGCCAGCCTCCTTGGACACCCTTTTGCTCATATTCCAGCCCAAGTCCTGTAAATGCTCACCCTGAAATGCACAAACTGTTCAAACATGGTGCCCACGTGGCGAGTGTGGGCCCCTAGGAGTGTCCGGATCAGCTCTTCCTGCTCCTTACTCAGCTGCATACGTGCCTGCTGTGCCCGCCGCTGGGCCTGCTTCACTCGCCGCAACGCCAGGGCTTCTGCTGACAATATCACTGTGCCCAGCAAGAGATGGGACAAAGCTATTGAGAGCAGCTGACAGCACCTCTCTCTGCCAGTTCCTGATCTGGGGCCCCTCAGCCGCCCTGAAGGGTGGGGGAGGGAGGAGAGTTCCTGGGGCTTCCTTGGGCTTGGCTGAAGTCCTAGCGCCACCAAGAGGCAGGGATTCCTGCACACTTTCACAGGCCTGTGAGACGCTGTAGCAGAAAACTGCACAGAGGGAAGGAAGGGGAGGGTGGAGAGTAAAGTGGCAAAGGTGTGAGGAGACATTTTTGGCTTCTAGGGGAACATTGAAGGGAAAGGGGTCTTGATATTTAAAATATCATCTTATGTTTGCATAGCACTATAATATGAAAGGTTCTGAGGTTAAATCTCACTGGCTGAAACAGCCCTGTGGTAGACAGGGCAAGTGTTATTCATATTTTTCAGAAACATAAACAGGCTTAGATTCCAATAACAGGCCCACAAAATAAGTAAAGTAGATTGAATTCTAACCAAGATCTTTTGACTTCTACAGTTTCCTTTCCACCCTTCCAGTGAAAAGTAGTATGATAGCATGGGATAAGCAAGAATTTGGGAGTCAGACAGACTTGATTTTAAATACTGGCTGTACAACTTTTTAGCTGAATGGACTTGGGCAAATTGACTTCTGTGAACTCCACTTACATTGTCTGTTAGCATAGCATCTGGCACAGAGAAAGCATTAAATTCAATTGTTAAGTACCTACTAGGTGACAGGCACTATACTTAAGAGACAGAAAAGATATAACTAGCCATGTGAACATGTAGGAGAAGAGAAGTTCAGGTAGAGGGAATGTCAAGTATGTAAGTCGTGGAAAAAAGAGTATGCTTGGTGTGTTCTAGGATGGCATTAAAGTCAGTGCTACTGGAATGGATTGAGCAAGGGAGAAAGAGTAGGAAATAAAGTCTGAATAAGGTCTAGTCTCATGGAGCTAGACCATGAGTTCATGTCCTTTGAGATGGAGAACCATTGGAGGTTTTGAGCAGAATCATGACATGATCTGATTAGTTGCTTTTTTTTTTTTTTTGACCAGTCAAGTGCAGTAGTGAGAAGGGGGAAAGTAGGAGAACAAGGAGTTTAATCCGATTAGTTTAAAAATGCTTGCTCTGCCTGCTATGTGCAGTATGCACTGCAGGGAATCAGGACAAAGCAGAGAGGCATAGTCAGTGGATGTGTGGGATGGTGGGGGGCCAACTCACTGTCTTTCCTCATGCCAGCATCTAGGCACTTCTGCAACCTGCAGGCAGGGCAGTGGCGCCTCTGGGCCTTGCTGACCTCACAGCTTCCAGCAAAGGGGCAGGTAGGACCAGTGCTTTTGCTAACTGTTCGTCTGTGAGAGACAGAGATGTCATTAGGGTCTGGGATGGCAGTGAACAGGCGGGTGGGTATGTGAGGGGCTGAGATGACATGGTCTAAAAGACTTGGGAATCTGGCAACATGGGCTAATCTGCGCAGTGCCCAAAAGGTCCCCAGGGGTGGGTAGGGTCCTACACATCTCAAAGATTTCCACTGGGACGCAAGATCACACAAGAAAGCCTAGTTGATGTCGTACTAGCTTGGTGCTTTGCAGATAGTGAGTGCACGAGTACTCTTGACTAATGGGCTGTGTCTATCAGACAAACGTTTGGCCTTCTCTCTGGTATTATGCCACCAGTTTATACAGAGTCGTGGTTAGCAAGATGTAGGGTGCTAGCTACAGGGCACTTAGACTCTATTTTTCTTTTTTTAAAATTTTTTAACTTTTTTATTTTTATATATTTATATTTTTTTCTTTTTCTTTGTGTCCTGTAGTTTACTTTTTGAAGGGCACTTAGATTGTAAGATAGAGGATTAATGTAGCTGGACAAGCTTGGGCATGTGCCAGGGTTTAGAGGCTAAGTAACAGGCAGTTTGTGGGGTGGTTTCTATTGAGGAGTCGGCTCTCACCTGAAGAAACCTTTGCAACCCTCACAGGTCAGGGCATGGAAGTGATAGCCTGTGGCTCGGTCTCCACACACCACACAGTTCTTTGGCTCATCTTCCCCAGTGGCCATGGCTTCAGGTGTTCAGGTGGCCGTCACAGATCCCTGAATGTGGGAGGGGTTAACACTTGACCCTCTTCCCACCAACCTTCTTCTCTCCCTTTTGTGGAGTCCCTTCCCAAACCCGCCCTGGACCTGATCCCGGCATTACCTGTAGTTCATTGCATTTAGTCTCTGACAAACCCCCTCCCCCCCCAGATTTCCTACCTGCTTCTCTCAGGCAGCATGTCACCCACAGGCCACAGAATCTGGTGTGGAATGCCCCCCCAAACTCCCACACTGACCGTACTTTCCCTTTGATGTCAGCAAATGCAGTGAATGGAGTTAGGGATTATGGCCCTCAGTACCTACCTGGAAGACAAGAGTCTGTGTTATGTGGCTTCCAGTTGCTCTCGGTGCCTATGGAGTTCGAGTGCAGACCCTGGACTCGGGGCAAAGGCTGGGTAGGAGGTTTTCCCAGCATGCCCAAGAGGCTGGTTGATGGCACATGGGAGGGACTTTTGTGGGCAGGGACCTCATGACTCATTAGAGGCTTTGATCTGCAGCCTCCTTTGTACATGGATACCAGACAAGATGGGAAGAGAGAGAGAGAGAGAGAGATGGAGAGGCCCAGCAAGCTTTTTCACATGCAGTGTGTCAGAAGTAATAGAATAGGTATAACAGTTGCACAAAGCTCCCAAAAGGAAAGTTCTTAAAAAGAGACTGAGGTCTAAATAAGAGCCTATGCAGACTGGGCGAGGTGGCTCATGTCTGTAATCCTAGCACTCTGGGAGGCTAAGGCAGGAAGACTGCTTGAGGCCAGGAGTTTGAGACTAGCCTGGGCAACACAGTAAGACCCCATCTCTACAGAAGTGAAAAAACTAGCTAGGTGTGTGCTGGCACATGCCTGTAGTCCCAGCTACTTAGTAGGCTGAGACAGGAGGATCTCTTAAGCCCAGGACTTCAGGGCAACAGAGCAAGACCTTGTCTAAAAAAAAAGAGCCACTTCTTGACTACAGAGTACTGAGAATGAAATCAGAATGACCTCAGCAAACTGTGGATCACTTGAGCCCAGGAGTTCAAGGCCAGGTTGGGCAACATAGCAAGAGCCCATTTCTAGAAAAAAAAATAAACAGGAATATTTAAGATAAATAAACAAACCAGAGTAAACTCTCATTAGAGGAAGTTAGGGTTGATTTGGGAACTCTTGCATCAGAGCTGGCTTTTTGTGTGCAGTTGCATAAGACACTGCATTCAGAGGAATCTCATGCTTGGTTTAGTGCTCTACTGTTGCTGTATTGAAATACATAATGATTTTTGAACAAAGGGCCCTACTTTTTTATTTTAAGTTGGGCCCCCCAAATTATGTACCCAGTTCTGTCTGGAGTCAATTTAAAGAACTTCTAACTAATAAGCTGAATAAATTTAAGACTCAAAAGTAGAAGTCTTCACTGGAGTTGTCTAGTGCTTCATTATCACCGAAGAATATTTTTTTTTTCCTTTTTTTTTTTTTTTTGGTGCTTGACTCTTGAATAGGAATTGTTAAAATGGAAAGATGCTCTAAGGACTAGGTCAAAGCCTGGTCTTTTTTTTTTTTTTTTTTTTATTCCCCTCCCCTCAAGCCTGCCTGCACAAGCAGAGGGCAGAAAGGAGAGCCGAAGAATATTTTTGTAAGTGCGCTTGTGTCTACATCCGTCTATCTATCTGTTTCCCCAACATCTATGAACAGAGAAAGTCATTTCAAATATTTGGATGTTTTGGGGATGGGCAATATGTTGGATAAATCCATGTTAGATAAACCTGGCCCCATATAAACTGGAATAAAGTCTTAATTCTCAGTCTTCCAATTAGAAAGTTTCAGCAGGGTTCAGAGGGTCATACCTGTAATCCCAGCACTTTGGGAGGCCAAGGTGGGAGGATCGCTTGAAGCCAGAATTTTGAGACCAGCTTGGGCAACATAGTGAGGCCGCCAGCCCTTTAAAAAATAAGAAAAATTAGCCAGGTGTGACGGTGTGTGCCTGTAGTCCCAGTTACTGTGGGGGCTGAGGCAGGAGGATCACTTGAGCAAGAAGTTTGAGGCTGCAGTTAGCTATGATCAAAACACCACACTCCAGCATGGGCGACAGAGCCTGTTTTTTAAGATCCTGTCTCTCTCTCTCTTTATTTTTCTTTTTTTTTGAGACAGAGTCTCACTGTGTTGCCCGGGCTAGAGTGCCGTGGCGTCAGCCTAGCTCACAGTAACCTCAAAATCCTAGGTTCAAGCAATCCTCCTGCCTCAGCCTCCCGAATAGCTGGGACTACAGGCATGCGCCACCATGCCCAGCTAATTTTTTCAACATATATTAGTTGGCCAATTAATTTCTTTCTATTTTTAGTACAGACGGGATCTGGCTCTTGCTCAGGCTGGTTTCAAACTCCTGACCTTGAGCAATCCGCCCGCCTCGGCCTCCCAAAGTGCTAGGGTTACAGGCGTGAGCCACCATGCCCAGCCAAGATCCTGTCTCTTAAAAAAATAAAAAAAGATTCTTCTCACAGAAGATCTTTCAGGCTGTTTGCTGTTTCTATATTATTGTCTTTTCCTATTAGAAATAAGCATTTCTTTTTCCTTTTTATTTTGCTATCATGTCTTCTGTTTCAGTTAAGAGTTACATTATAATTAATGTTTCTCTAAAGATGAGTTAAAAATCCCAAGTGCAGGCTAGAGACATAAACACACACATAGACACAGAGAGAGAGGAGACTGAGTCACAAAGAGACTTGTTTAGGTTCCCAGAATGAATTGGTAGAACCCTTAATCTCAAGTGGTATAGCATCAAACTATGTATAACTTTGCATTTTGAAATAAGCTGAATTCCAGAGAGCACAGATGCTTGGATCTGGTCTTTGGGAGATGGTAAGAATATTTATGTTTATATATTTGGTTGGTGTCTTGGTGACTCTGAGAATTCATACCAATTTATTAAATCAAATATTGACTGATAACCTACCTATTATATGTTAGATACTACGGATAAAAAGATGAATAAGATGGTCTCCTGTGCTCATGGAGTTTAAATGCTAGTGGGATAGAAAGATCTTTAAACAGATATAAAGAAATATAGACAGATCAAGGATGGAGCTATGCACAGAGCATTATGGGACCACAGAAGAGGGGCAAATAATCCTGCTTTGGCAAAAGGATTTTGAGAAAGAGGCAGGAAAGGCTTTCTGGAGGAGTGACAACTGAATTGATTTTTAAATGATAATGAAGAGTTAGCCAGGGGAAAATAAAGGGCAGTCCAGGCAGAGGTTGCAATCTGAGAAATTCAAGAAGCCAGATAGACCGGGCCGTGGTGGCTCACGCCTATAATCCTGGCACTCTAGGAGGCCGAGACAGGAGGATCCTTTGAGCTCAGGAGTTTGAGAACAGCCTGAGCAAGACCTCATCTCTACTAAAAATAGAAAGAAATTAATTGGCCAATTAAAAATATATAGAAAAAATTAACCGGGCATGGTGGTGCATACCTGTAGTCCCAGCTACTCAGGAGGCTGAGGCAGGAGGATCGCTTAAGACCAGGAGTTTGAGGTTGCTGTCAGCTAGGTTGATGCCATGACACTCTAGCCTGGGCAACAGAATGAGACTGTCTCAAAAAAAAAAAAAAGAAGGAACTACTGATATAAATAACATAGGTGAAATTCAAAAAAAAAAAAAAAAAAAAAAGAAGCCAGATACAAAAAGTTGGCAGAGCTTGGTGGCTAACGCCTGTAATCCTAGCACTTTGGTAGGCCAAGGCAGGAGGATCAGCCTGAGCAATATAACAAGACCCCAGGCTGGGCACGGTGGCTCACGCCTGTAATCCTAGCACTCTGGGAGGCCGAGGCAGGAGGATTGCTCGAGGTCAGGAGTTCAAAACCAGCCTGAGCAAAGGGGAGACTCCGTCTCTACTATATATATATATTTTTTTAATTTATTTTTTTGAGACAGAGTCTCGCTTAATTGCCCAGGCTAGAGTGAGTGCCGTGGCGTCAGCCTCGCTCACAGCAACCTCAAACTCCTGGGCTCAAGCAATCCTCCTGCCTCAGCCTCCCCAGTAGCTGGGACTACAGGCATGTGCCACCATGCCAGGCTAAGTTTTTCTATATATATATCAGATGGCCAATTAATTTCTTTCTATTTATAGTAGAGACGGGCCTCACTCTTGCTCAGGGTGGTTTAGAACTCCTGACCTTGAGCGATCCGCCCTCCTCGGCCTCCCAGAGTGCTAGGATTACAGACATGAGCCACCGCACCTGGCCAGTCTCTACTATAAATAGAAAGAATTAATTGGCCAACTAATATATATATAGAGAGAAAAAATTAGCCGGGCATGGTGGTGCATGCCTGTAGTCCCAGCTACTCGGGAGGCTGAGGCAGGAAGATTGCTTGAGCCCAGGAGTTTGAGGTTGCTGTGAGTTGGGCTGATGCCATGGCACTCACTCTAGCCTGGGCAACACAGTGAGACTCTGTCTCAAAAAAAACAAAAACAGGCCTGGCCCGGTGGCTCACGCCTGTAATCCTAGCTCTCTGGGAGTCTGAGGCGGGCGGCTCGTTTGAGCTCAGGAGTTTGAGACCAGCCTGAGCAAGAGCGAGACCCCGTCTCTACTATAAATAGAAATTAATTGGCCAACTAATATATATAGAAAAAATTAGCCGGGCATGGTGGCACATGCCTGTAGTCCCAGCTACTCAGGAGGCAGAGGCAGGAGGATCACTTGAGCCCAGGAGTTTGAGGTTGCTGTGAGCTAGGCTGACGCCAGGGCACTCACTCTAGCCTGGGCAACAAAAGCGAGACTCTGTCTCAAAAAATAAAAGTAAATTAAAAAAATAAAAACAAAAACAAAAAAAGACCCCATCTCTACAGAATATATTACAAATTAGCCAGGCATGGTGGGATAGTGCCAGCTACTTTCGGGTTACCTGAGCCCAGGGGTTTGAGGTTGCCACGAGCTATGATGATGCCATTGCACTATTAACCCAGGCAACAGAGTAAGACTCTGTCTCAAAAAGACCAAAAAACCCCCCAAAAAGTTACATATGATGGAACCACAAATGATGCATAACATTTCAGTTTGGGAGTGAGCAGAGATGAGGCTAGAGAGATGTGACATGAGGCTGAAATGTAGGCAGGGCCAGATCACAGAAGACCCCATGTTTCAGTTAAGCAGTTTGAGTCTCTCAAAAATATTTTATTTTATTATTTTTATTTATTTTTTTGAGACAGAGTCTCACTCTTGTTGTCCCGGCTAGAGTGCTGTGGCGTCAGCCTAGCTCACAGCAACCTCAAACTCCTGGGCTCAAGCAATCCTACTGCCTCAGCCTCCCAAGTAGCTGGGACTACAGGCATGTGCCACCATGCCCGGCTAATTTTTTCTATATATATTAGTTGGCCAATTAATTTATTTCTATTTATAGTAGAGATGGGGTCTCACTCTTGCTCAGGCTGGTTTCAAACTCCTGACCTCGAGCAATCCACCTGCCTCGGCCTCCCAGAGTGCTAGGATTACTGGTGTGAGCCACCGCGCCAGGCCGAACTCCTAGATCTTAAAGGAAATATATATTCAAGCTCTAAATTGTGTGGAGAAGATTATGTATGATATTATAGGTATTAACTGCTTCATTTATTCTTATTGAGCTCCCAATATGAGCAGAGTCCTATGTATTAACTCTATAAGACAGGGAGT